CCCCCCCCCCCCAGGAACTGCTGGGTAGCTCAGGGGGAGAGGGGAGAAGGGACCCGGAGGAGGCCCAGGAGTGGAGGGCACCCCGCTGATCCTTTCCGAGGCCGCTGCCTCCAGGGGGTGCCTTCTAGGACTGGGGTCCCGAACTCTGCATTTTGAAAACAATTTCACAAAATGAAATAGAACGGAAGGCATCCGAATGCAGTGCTCGGGTAAAGGAAACTTTCATTTTAGATATATACGTGATGGGAAATGGGAGTTTATGTGAGCCTGGTTGTTAAAGCTTAACACCTGTTGTTTAGAGCCCAGTCACCGAGTGCACCCCCCACTTTACTCTTTGAACATGAGAGAGTGTCAGAGAGCAGCCCAGCCCTCCAGCACTCTCCGCTTCCTCCGCTCCTCTCCTCCCCCCTTCGGATGAGGGACGAGGCTCCCGCTTGTTGAGGCTACCCAGGATGTTGCCCTAGGATAGACCCAGGTGCTGGGTCTGGGGCCCCTCCCTCTCTCTTTTCAAATAAGTGCCTTTTCAGGCCTCCCCCCAGGGAGCCCCTGAAGTAGAGGGGACTTGAAAGTCTCTTCTCCCAGGAATTTGAGTTACAACAGCCCCAGAGGGTGTGTGGACGCATGTGAAGGGCCAGCAGAAGCACTGGATCAGGGCCACAGGCATAGCCGGCCCTCCCCTGCCCTCCCTCTGGGGTGGCCCCCAGCCCCCAAGACTGGGTTTGGCTCTGGAGCCAGGGTGGTGGCTGAGTCTCAGAGACTTAAGAGAGGTGACTGTTTTTCCCAGTAGAAAGCCCCCAGTGAAGTGGGGTCCTAGGCTCTCTGGGTATCCCAAGCCTCTCTCTCCAGAACTTCCTTGGACTTTGTCTCTTAGCCTGACACTGCCCAGTCCCTCTTTCCAGGAGGACAGAAAGTTGGCATGCTGTTTTATAATTGGGGGGATTAGGTTAGGGGTGAGGTCAGGATAGAGCGGAAGGTGGGAAGTTTCCTTAAGTGTCCCCACTCCTCTATATCCTCACCAACACTTGTAATTGGCTATTTGTAATTCTAGCCATCCTAGTGGGCACGAAGCAGTATCTCGCTGTGGCTTTAACTGGCATTTCCTTGATGGTTAATGGTGGCAAGCATCTTTCCTGTGCGTGTTGGCCATTTGTGTAGGTGTATATATATATATATTTTTTTTTTTCAACGTTTATTTATTTTTG